CTTTGTCCAAAGATGCTCTAGGACAAATTTGGTCAAAATCCTTCTATTGGTTGAGAAGAAGAAGATTTTTAAAGATTTACCTATTTTCCCCCTATTTGGCCCCGCCCCTCTGCCCCCAGGGGGGTTATACCCTCCGTTTATACAAAACTGAGAACCCTTTGGCCAATGATGCTCCTGACCAAATTTGGTCAAAATCCTCTGAGCCATTCAGGACAAGTAGCATTTTAAAGGAAAAAGTTGCCGGACGCCGGACGCCGGACGCTGCACCATGGGATAAGCTCACTTGGCCCTTTGGGCCAGGTGAGCTAAAAATGGATGGCTATTCATGATCAAGGTATATGATACCATAAATACCCCTGTAGTAACACTGACCTCAACACAGTTAACCTACATATTGTATTCAACCTATTAAACGACACCATTATAATGTCCCTATCCTTTTCTAAGCCTGTGTTACCCCCCTCCCCTTCATCACCATTTATTTTAACCTTCTTGAAAACAAGGTGCATATAAAAGTTTGTTTCATTGAGAATTATGCAAGGGCCTGCCCTGCAATCACTCAAATTTTTCAGTTGAATACGCTAATGATTATTTCTCCTTAAAACACATGAACACATATTTTAAACGTTTTTTTCCCCGTAGGATAGAGGTTCTAAGGACAAGGTCAATGCTACAGACAGACCAGGAAAGCATACAAAATACCTTCATATCACCAACAGGATGTCACCATTTACGGAATCCACCTCCATCAGACAAACACACTGTAACCTTAGTGTCACCTTCTCCCCAATAAATCCCACAAAACATCACAAATTAATCCACGTTACGTGTCAGTACAGGTGGCAATGTGGGAAAATTACCAGAGCGACATACACTCCAGGTGAGTTTTTACATGGAACTGACAGAAATGTAGGTCCTTCACTTCCACCAGCATGGTGTACTGTCAAGCAGATTCATTCGCCTGTACTTGTATATAATGGTCCGTTGACCAGTGTCATTCACTGAAAGTAACCTACAACCCTGTCTGTCCATGAAATGGGGCCAAAGAGGTGACCCACTTCCTAAAACTCTGTCCCCTGATGTCCTTTGTTGTAGGTAACTTACACAGTCAAGATGTTACGGTTGTCACCTGTATAATGATCACCTATAGACTTAATGAGGTGACCAGACCTATAGCAGTATGACCCCTGACCTCCTTGCGGTCAGCTCAGCTTTAGGATCACCTATCTAGATCTAATGAGTAGAACTACAGCTGTTAACATCCATAGCATCACATACTAAACGTGGACCAGAAGCAGTAAAACCAAAATAATGTACCAGGTCTTCTGTGACAGAAAAGGAACATTAATGATAAATGTGGATCGTAAGCCGAAAAATCAAAAATAATGTAAGAGGTCTTAATTAAATTTCCCGAGAATCGCTATACAGTAGCTATAGCGTGTCTTGCCACAGACCATCAAAACTGTAAAATAGCAAAACACAAACGGACAAATTACATTGTCTATGCATCCAATGTTAGAAGTGAGTCAAGATGTGTCCGAGCACAGATCACACACTAACACCACAGTGACCTTCATCAGTGTAGTATTGTTACATAGATTAGCATTAGGTACCTATATAGCATTGCACATGAAGTACATATAACATGACTATGCAATCCCATGGGTAGATCATAACACAAGTAATTTCATAAAATAGTGAATCAGTGAATGAAACACGTCCCACAGATATCACTTTGTTTAGGAATTAAAGCAGATATTCAGCAACAGCAGCACACAAACATTGGTGCCTGTTTAACCAATCAAAACCAGTCATCAATGATGTAGAACCTCTGTGTATGATTCAGGAGGCTGAGAGCACAGTCACTGCCTCTAAAAACCAATCCTATATGTCACTGATAGTGTACCGTGCCAAAAACAGAATTTCAACATGTGAAACAGGGTTTTATCATCCAATTAAATCTTGAGTCAATCTACCGAAATACACGAAACCTGACTCAATACCAGCATCCACGATGGGGTAGCACCAACTAAAGTAGAAGCTTATCAGTATTATCAGGTAATACATAGCCCATAGTAGGTTGCAGTAAATTATGTACTATATCTATAGGCAGTCAAGAGACTGGGACATAGACTGGGACATCCAGACAGTAAATATATATAGGGACATCCAGACAGTACATAGACTGGGACATATAGACTGTACATAGACTGGGACATCCAGACAGTACATAGACTGGGACATCCAGACAGTACATAGACTGGGACATCTAGACTCTATATAGACTGGGACATCCAGACAGGACATAGACTGGGACATCCAGACAGTAAGGACATAGACTGGGACATCCAGACAGTACATAGACTGGGACATCCAGACAGTACATAGACTGGG